TCGCTCAGGTCAGTGCCGCGCGGAACACGCTCCCGGAGCCGGGGACCTGGGAGCGACGGACGGGTGGAAGGGCTCTGGAGTTGATGTTAGACTTGGGAAAATTGAGCCTCGGAGTTACTGCCTCGGTTTCCTTAGCTGCGAAATGCGTTAGCAGTGACGTTCCAGGGCTGCCCTGAGGTTGAAAGATGAAGTGTCGAGAGGTGTATGAAGTGCAAGCGCTGTACTAACGTGAGGGACTGCGCCATAGTTGTGGGTATGCCATGGAAACAGGTGTGTATGTGGGGTGCTGCTTGAAATAAAGGTAACAGTATTCATGCCAATAATAATGGTTACTGGCATTTCTTGTAGGCTTACCTGTGTGTCAGGTACGGTGCTAAACGCTTCACATACATTATCCTACACACAAACACCCTTGTAGGCAGTGTTGTTCATGGTTACAAATGGCTACAACTCAGTTTGACAAGTGAGGCAACTGGGCTTTTGCAACAGGTGACGTGATTTGCCTAGGGTCACCCGACAGCAAGTGGAGTTGCAGAGCCCTTATTTTTATTCTATTTGAATTCTTTGAAAGCTTTTAAATGGATAGTATATTCACGTAGTTTTCAATTAAAAAAAAAAAAGGGGCCCCTTACTCCTGTTCCTCAGCTCTTCAGTTTTCTCTGGAGACAACCAGTGTTACCAGCTTCTTGAATATTGAAAAGCTATTCTGTGTCTGTGAAAGCCTCTGTACTTTTTAACTGCTGATTATGCTCGATAAGAGAGGAAGATGAAGCCTCCTCCCCCAAAACAAAGGTCTTGCTTTTGCTCTTGACTAGGCCAGGTGCTGGTGGAGGAGAGGAAAATGCATTCACCATGTTTTACCCAGAATGTCATGTCTCTAAGTAAGACCTAGAGGTAGAGGTTTTGTTTTGGGAGGGTGGGGGCAGGGCAAGATGTTGATCCTGCTACTGTCTGTGGGACCCTAGGAAAGTCATTCCACTTCTTGGGCCATACATTTCCTCATTTATTAGTTAAGGGCAGTAGTACTGACACCTTACACAAGGTTGTGAAAACCAAATGAAGTAATGTCTATGAGTAGACATTAAACCAAAACAAATAGGAGAGTTGCCTAAGGGAACATAGGGGGTTAAAAGGGCAGAACCAGAGACCAAACCCAGGTCTCCCATCTCCCATTTTAAGAGTCTTTTTCATCACACCACCCATTTCAGAGCTTTGTGATTGTTAATATTGAGGGCAGGAGGGCAAGTTTAATCTTAAATGGAGGGGAAAAGGGCAAGATAGCACGAGTGTGGGTAAAGTGGAGAGAAAAATACACCTGGTGGGAAACTAGTCCCAAGTTGATAATGACCCTTAATTATTAAAATTAAATGCCCAGTAAGTTTGAGCCCTTGAGTTTTTCTTCCATATATCAAGCCATTTTAAGAGAAACTTTGTGATAAGATCATAGAATTCAAAGGGATGTTAGTGCTCACATCCCTTTCAGCCTCAGGGTCACTAAAAACTTGCCTGCTAGGTGTTAATAATAATAAAACTAACAAAAGTGCCATTTGAGTTACTCTAGACTGAGCTCTGTGCTAAGCATGTCCCTGCCCTATTTCTGATTTTCACAACTCTCAGGGTGAATGATAGCTGAATCAGTAAAAATTTTGACTGACTGTAAAGCATTTTCATTCTGCCTTTGTATTTAATTGTCTTTGACTGTTCCCAGTAATGGGAAGCTCACCACTCTGGAGGCAGCTATTCCATTATTAAAAAGCTCTGATGATTTAAAAGCTCCTCCTCACGTTGAATTGAAATTCCACTTCCTGAAGTTTTCCCCCTCGGGGGCCTTATGCTGCCAGTACATAACACATACTCCTAGAAGCTTTCTTCTAAAAGTGTTCAGTTTAGCCTGTGGCCTTAAGAAAATTCCCTCCAAAGTTAGTTGATTTTTTTTTAGAAAAGTAAAAACTGGTGTTTTGTTTTTTTTCATGATGCAGACAATGTTTAATAAATAGAATGCCAGTTCAATATACAGCTATAGGGATACCAAACTAAACTGTTCTTGTTGTCTATGGAAAAGCTCAAGAAGAAATCAGAATGGTGTTTCTTAATCATGCATTCTGCTGAGTTTATGGGCTTGCTTGATTAAAATAAAGATTCTTTTTTTTATTTTTCATGACAGTCAGAGATGAAGAACTGGAAAACAGCCACCCATAAGGGGTTCAGTAGCTTAAAGGGCAATCTCTAATTGTAAGGATTGGGGGAAAAAATTTTTCTTAGGAGTTAGGAGAATACATAATTCTTAGAAATGGCTGGTGTTTTTTTAATAACGGTGCTCACTGAAAATCTTGTTCCTCAGTCTTCTGTGGTGTCATGAGCACATGGCATGCTGTAGGATGTCTCTTAAATAAGAATAATGGGAACCTGATCATATTTTCCTGGGTATTACAAATTTGTCTTGTGGCCATTTAAATAACAATTCCGTTTTCATAAATGTAAGCGTTTTTATAATGGATTTGTGGAAAATTTTGTGTGTGTAGGTGTTAGAGGAAACCCTATTCCCTTTTTCACTAAAAAATTATTCTGGCAGATGTTTTGATGTATGTTTTTAATTGGCCAGTATTAAGTTATTAGCTGTTGTGACATTGTATGAATGCTCATTTAAAAGAATTGTTTTTGTCTTGCTATGAATGCTTTTTTTAAACTAAAAAATTTTTTGAAGTGTTATATATAGATTGATTGTTAGGATTGAGAAGTAAGAGTCTTGTTATCTTGTTTTAAGTTGATAAAACTTTTGGTGAACTGATTATTTTTTGGCAGCCAAACAAATCCTTTAATTAATAAATAAATCCTACCTAGCCCAAACCCTGAGACTCCAAGAGCATTATTTTAAAGTCTATTCACTGCTCTAAAAAAACTAGATGATATATTTGGTTGCTTCTACTTTTTTTGCCCAATAACATTCTTGCCAAACTTGATATTGGGGAAATTAATAAAAATGGTTTTTACTCAGCTTGCGTAAAGGTAGAAGATGAGATCTAGCTTTTTGTGTAGACCTGATCTAGGTGACATATATAAAAAGGAATTTATTTTCCTCTTCCATATTAATTTGGACATACATTTTAAAAATGAGCTTGATAATCTGGTGGGAAATTGATCAGATTAGAAGGAATGTTTTTTTTTTCTTTTTTTAATCATGGAAATGTTAAACATGTAAAAAGAAAGAGAATAATAATTCTTCATCACCCAGCACTAACATCTATCAACATATGGTCAATCTTGGGGAAAATGGTTTTTACTGATTTGCTTTATTTTTGTTCTTTTTCCATTAGTTTAGTCCCCATTGTTAGGAGTGATTTGACACCTTGACACACTGTGGATACTGCAAATTTTTTTTGTTCCAGTTAGCCCTGGAGCAATTTGTCCTTGTCCTAAGGGGGTAGGTGGTATAATCACAAAGGCACAGTGCCCCCAGATCGAGTTACAAGGTTGTGATGCTCCTGGTTGTAGCTGACTTCAGAGAGAGACAGCTTGATCTTGTTGGAAAATTACTGATCTTGAGAGCACTGGCTTCCAAGTCTGTTCTGCTCTTTTAGCTCTGTTGACTATAGGCAAATAACTTATCTCCTCTGATCTGTAACTTCCTTATCTGCACAGTGGAGATGATGATACCTGGGTTTTGGTGTTTTGTAAGTATCAGGAATATTTATTTGTTCAGACTTCTAAGACCCACATAACTCTGGGGCACATGCTTAAGAGTTGTCACCAACTCACATGAGGCTTATAAAAAATAGACTTTGTAAGGCCAGATAAGGCTTTTGGTAATTCATGTTCTAACAGGCAGTGCCATAAAGGAAGTGGAAGAACCAGAATACCTGAGCTACCTAACTTATTAAATCTGTGTATTTTTCTTCCCCAAACATTTATGCCTGTACGTCTATTACAAAAGCCAGTAATGAGTTCTGTGATTTTAGTAACAGGTCAGGTTGTGTCTAGCATGATAACTAATGTGTCAGGTTACTGTTCTAGACTTGCTTTCTGGTTGTCACATCATGGTGCTTATTTTTGTGATTTTAATGCCTAAATAGAATATATTAAGGGAATCATGTTATGATGATTTTGATGAAGGAGGGGTATATTATATAAAATACATTGTTTCATTATGAATGAATGCTTTGTAAATCTTTGTGAAAATGCATGTAGCATGTGCTAGACTTCAAAAGGAGCAAATCACACACATCAACATAAGTTTCATTGACTTATGTTTCGGAGATCATGATTTGTTAAAGAATGTTTTCTCAAATGTATTTTCTTTTGTGTGCATGGAAAAATGTCAATACAGTGTATTAACTGTTAAGTTGTAATGTTGTAACTAAGCATAAAGTTGTAATGCCAAAATTTTTATACTAATTTTTAATACTTCATTTGTTAGTAGTCTTGCTTGAACGGTCTTTTGAGCAGAACTAATACAATATTTTGATGTGCCACAGGTAAATTTTTCCATAACCTTATGGAGAGAAAGGACTTTGAGACATGGCTTGATAACATTTCTGTTACATTTCTTTCTCTGACGGACTTGCAGAAAAATGAAACTCTGGATCACCTGATTAGTCTGAGTGGGGCAGTCCAGCTCAGGCACCTCTCTAATAACCTGGAGACTCTCCTCAAGCGGGACTTCCTCAAACTCCTGCCCTTGGAGCTCAGTTTTTATTTGTTAAAATGGCTCGATCCTCAGACTTTACTCACATGCTGCCTCGTCTCTAAACAGTGGAATAAGGTGATAAGTGCCTGTACAGAGGTGTGGCAGATTGCATGTAAAAATTTGGGCTGGCAGATAGATGATTCTGTTCAGGACGCTTTGCACTGGAAGAAGGTTTATTTGAAGGCTATTTTGAGAATGAAGCAACTGGAGGACCATGAAGCCTTTGAAACCTCATCATTAATTGGACACAGTGCCAGAGTGTATGCACTTTACTACAAAGATGGACTTCTATGTACAGGTAAGGGACCCTGGAACTGTTCTCCCCCCGCCCCCTGCCCCCCAATAGTGATTTTGGGGGAAAACCAGTGAAAAAGTTGAGTTTAGTCCAAGCAAGTAGTAGTTAGATCTTCTTGGAAGAATTACATAACCTTCTCTGTGTTTTGTTTCCTTCTTTGTCTGTACTGGTTAGGAAGGGAGGTCTGTCTTTCTTGTTTTAAATTCCTGTGGTGCTAAGAAGAATTAGAAGTTAAGAGTTTGGGCATGGGAAGAAATACAGTGGATATTTTAACTAGGCCAGTGGTCGGCAAACTCATTAGTCAACAGAGCCAAATATCAACAGTACAACGATTGAAATTTCTTTTGAGGGCCAAATTTTTTAAACTTAAACTATATAGGTAGGTACATTGTTATTAACTTAATTAGGGTACTCCTAAGGCTTAGGAAGAGCCACACTCAAGGGGCCAAAGAGCCGCATGTGGCTCATGAGCCGCAGTTTGCCAACCATGGAACTAGGCAGTTAAGTAACTTTATATAACACTAGAGCAGCCGTGGGCAAACTACGGCCCACGGGCCTGATCCGGCCCGTTTGAAATGAATAAAACTAAAAAAAAAAAAAGACCGTACCCTTTTATGTAATGATGTTTACTTTGAATTTATATTAGTTCACACAAACACTCCATCCATGCTTTTGTTCCGGCCCTCTGGTCCAGTTTAAGAACCCATTGTGGCCCTCGAGTCAAAAAGTTTGCCCACCCCTGCACTAGAGGCTTGGTGCATGAAATTCGTGCACAGGTGGGGTCCCTAGGACTGGCTAGTGATCAGGGCCTATTGGGGCCGGGCCAGCCAGGGAGGTTGGCTGGCTGTGGGAGTGCACTGACCACCAGGGGGCGGCTCCTGCATTGAGCATCTGCCCCCTGGTGGTCAGTGCAAATCATAGTGACAAGTCATTTCAGTTGTTCTGGTTGTTCCGGTTGCTTAGGCTTATATATATATAGGTATCATTAAAATTTAAGATTTTGTATATCTTCCAATTATAATGGGTATGTGTTTCTACATATGATTATAATCACTGCCCACATTTTAAGCAGTACATTTTGACAGACATTGTAAATAATTCTTAGTGTTTCAAATGACTCTCAGCAGTTCTTATAAATGATCCCAATACCTATTCACTTTCATTGTGTATAATATATAGGGATACTCTGTATTCTTTCTTCATCCAAGATAATTTCTAATAAATATTTGAGTATTTCCTAAATTATTAAACTATTTTTCATAATATATACTGTTCTTTTGTGTAAATAAATCATCATTATATACTCATTTCCATTTAGTGCATATTCAATGTTTTGTTTGCATATTTTCCTTTTGAATTATTTATTTGGGGGAGAAGCCTCAAGGTAGAATCACCAGATCCAGAAATATGAATGATTTTATAGCTCCTCTTAATATCCTTTTCAGATAGGTTGAATTGATGCCATGCCTACAGCAGTCTTAAATAACCTGCTTCTCCCTCAGAGTTCTACCAGGCTGCATTTTAACATTTATTTAAAAATATTTACATATGTAAATATATGTATATTTACATAGATATATTAAAGAGGGGTGGAGAGAGAGAGAAACATCCATTGGTTGCCTCCCACACGCACCCCCACCAGGGCTGAGGATGGAATCCAGGTACATGTCCTTGACTGGGAATCAAGAGGCTCTAACTACTTAAACATACCGGCCAATTTTATTATTTTTAATAGTTAAAAGATACATTATTTCTCATGATTGTTTTAAAATTTTATTTCTTACTCATGAGGATATACATTTTGTTATATTACCCAAAATAGTTTGTTTTATAAAATAAACATTAAATGTAAGGCACTTCCTGGTTTTGTTTGTCATACTGAAGTTACTCCATGCTTATGCTATTTTCCTATAAGCCTGATTATTGGAACATCATCTGTTCTTTTATACTTTAATGTACTTTCCCAGTTGTGATGAGGGCTTTTCCATGTCCTTTTTGCCTCATAATCAGTGGCAGGTATTTAAAATTTTTTTTAAAGCTTGAGATGCAGTGTTAACTCATTCGTACTTAGGTAAATACTGACAGTTGACTCATTTTCAGAACCACCTTTAGCTTTAAAAAATCTCATCAAACTTTACATTTTTGTGTGTGTGTTAATCCTCACTGAGGATATTTTTTCCATTGATTTTTAGAGAGAATGGAAGGGAGAGGGAGAGACAGAGAGAGGGAAACATTGATTGGTAGCCTCCTGCACATGCCCCACCAACACTGGGGATCGAGCCTACAACCAAAATAAATAATTCAATTGTATGTGCCCTTGATTGCAATTGAACCTGCGACCCTTCAGTCTGTGGGCCGACGCTCTCACTACTAAGCAACCGGCCAGGGCTCAAACTTTACTTTTGAAGTACAATAAAAACTCCACTTACTTGAAGCAGAAGTAAATGGGACACATTCACTGAATTATTTAACTACCCAGAAAATTAATATTTATAAAAACTGGGCCAAATCTTGCATTTTGTAATTATTCTCTTCTATGTTCTGTTATTTTTATTCTGATTAAATTAATCAGGTTAGTGTATTGGAAGTCATGCTGTGTCTGTTGAAAATAATCCAAAGCATTCATTTACTTTTTTCTAATGTAGCATCCCTGGGACTGTTATTAGTGAGAAAAATATTTGTTACAGAATTACATAGGCATACCTTGTTTTATTGAGCTTTGCTTTAGTGTGCTTCACAGATACTGCTTTTCCCCCTCGCCCCCATAAATTGAAGGCAAAACCCTATACCCATGGTCGGCAAACTGCGGCTCGCAAGCCACATGCGGCTCTTTGGCCCCTTGAGTGTGGCTCTTCCTAAGCCTTAGGAGTACCCTAATTAAGTTACTAACAATGTACCTACCTATATAGTTTAAGTTTAAAAAATTTGGCTCTCAAAAGAAATTTCAATTGTTGTACTGTTGATATTTGGCTCTGTTAACTAATGAGTTTGACGACCACTGCCCTATACTAGCAAAAAGATTATGACTCGCTGAAGGCTCAGTGTTTTTTAGCAATAAAGTATTTTTTAATTAAGGTATGTTGTTGTTTTTTGACACGTGCTATTGCACACTCAGTAGACTACAGTATAGAGTAAAAACTTCTATATGCACTGGGAAACCAAAAAATTTGTGAGACTCACTTTATTGCAGTGGTCTGGAACCAAACTTGCAATATCTCTGAGTTATGCCTGTGAAGTGTTTGTGTCATCTTGTCACTTAGCTTGTATTTTTCACTGTGGTTGAATTGGGAAATTCTGAATTTGGAAATAAGCTTATAGTGTCTCTCAGGTTAGCCCTTTGAACAGTAATAAAATGATATTGCCATAAAGATTGATGGCTAATGCTAAAATTAACATGGGATAGATTGAATGAGGTAATTATTGTGCTCATTTTTGAAATGGTAAGAAAGGGACCTGTTGTACTTTGTGCTGTTCAGTAAGCATTTATTTTTAAAATGCCTTCTATGTGAAAGACAGTATAAAGATATACATAAATAAGTTGGAGCAGAGAATACACATACTGGGATCAAGAAGGTAACCTGGTTAAGTAGAACTCTCCACATGGACTATGGCTAATCAAAGAACACCTGCCCTTCTAGAGAGGGTAGCTGCTGCTTCACTGTAGTGAATTATTGCCATGTGTGATTCAGGCTCAGAGTTGTCAGATCTGACTTAAGAGAAGCCTGCAAGCTGCCATATTGTGACATCTGGCTTATAGTCAAATAAGAAAAACAAGAGCCATACAAGAAGTATGATCAAATGTTTTAGTTGAAATGTGTAAAAAGGAAATTCATGTAGTTCAGAAGGAGTGATTTCCATTTGAGAAAATGGAGCAGTGGTTTCTGTTGAGTCTTGAAGAATGGGTAGACTTTGGAGAGATGAGATTCAAAGGAGAGCTTTCTGCTAGGAAGATCAGCATTAGCAAACATATGACAGGGCTGAGCATAGAGAATGTAGGAAGAAAATTCTTGTTAGCTGGACTTCTAGGATATAAGTAGGGTCTCTATAAGTGACTCTTAGAATGTAAAGAAATAGGCTTAGGTGTGTTGTGAAAGCCTTGCATGCTGGGAACGTGAGTTTGGACAGTTTTCTATAAGCAGTAGGAAAAAAACTGAAAGATTTTTGAGCAGAAAAGGGCCAGCAGGATCAGATTTTCTGCTTCAAGTTGACCAATGTTTATTATTTGTCAGTCCCAGGGCCTCTTTTTATAACATACTTTACAGTAGTTTCATCTTAAAATAAAATTCATAGAAATAATTTATCCACATGTACACCTATTTTAAAAATCAATATAATGCCTAAACTCTGTTTCAGAGGAGAAATAAGGCTGTAATTTAAAATAATACACATTAAACATATAGTGCTCAAGCATAGCTATGCTAGAAAACAGTAATCAGATGTTTGCGCCTCTATGTACTGACCGTGAACATGATAGCTATAAGTGCAGAACATTGTACTTGTGTCACAGATACCATCAGTGGTGTGATTTCTCAAATGGTGGAAAATGCTTAGCAAGTTCCCAACAAAACAAAGTATATTTTTCCTCAATTTACCTGGTAGTTACACTCTTAGAAAATTCAGAATAAACTGCAAATATGCTTTGTAAAACAGGTTCTAGGCTCAGATAACTAAGAATAAGCTTTCCATTTATGGATATCTGGCCAAACCTTTAAGAATGTCATGCAAACTACAAGATAATTGTTTTGTGCACTGTCCCAATCATTGCAGTATGTCTAACATTCCTGGCCTCTGCCCAGTAGATGCTAGTAATAGCCCTCCACCCCCTAAATCATTATGACAATTGAAGCCACCCCAAAGAATTTCTAGCATGTCCTCTTAGGAGATGATCCTGCTTTTGCTGAGACTCTCTGACATAGAGAATACTAGAGGTTCCAAATTAAAGGATTAACCTGTTGCAGTTTAGATGAGGGTAAATAGGCCTAGGTTTAGGACAGTAAGGGTAGAGAGATTTTAAAAAGGAGAAGCTGAATGAAAGAGCAGCCACTGAAATAGAATTGACAGGATTTGGCAACATATTCGGTTTGTGGTCAGATCCTAAAATGATTTCTTTACCTGCCTTAGCTCCCTAGGAATACAGTCACAAAATGCCCAATCTTAAAGATTATCTAGGCCTGCACTGTCCAATAACACTTACGGCTAGCCACTAGCACTTACGGCTTTTGAGCACTAAGATGTGGCTAGTTCAAACTGAGATGTGAAATACTCATTTTTGGATTTCAAAGACTTAGGATATAACATTTTATTTATTTTTTAATATATTTTTATTGATTTCAGAGAGGAAGGGAGAGCGAGAGAGAGATAGAAACATCAATGATGAGAGAGTATCATTGATTCGCTGCCTCCTGCACACCCCCTACTGGGGATTGAGCCCGCAACCCGGGCATGTACCCTTGACCGGAATCCAAGCCCCTGGACCCTTCAGTTTGCAGGCCCATGCTCTATCCACTGAGCCAGACAGGCTAGGGCTAACATTTTATATTGATTATATGTTGAAATGATAATTTAACATTGTTAAATTATATTAAAATTTTATGTTTTTACTTTTTTAATAATAGAAAATTTTAAAATACTAACATGGCTTGCATTATATTTCTATTGAACAGCACTATTCTAGAATATTGGTTCTCAACATACTGCTCATACATTAGAATCACTTGGCAAGCTTTTAAGATTATTGGACTCCTCAGATATTCTAATTTTAGAATTTCTGAAGGTAGGGCCCTGCATATATGCTTTGATATAGCTCCCCAGGTAATTCTGATGTCTTATTTCCCCACTGAGAACCACCAACCAAGTATAGAGAGGAAACAGTCCTAAATAGTAAAGTTTCCATTTCAGTATGTTCTCATAGGGTTTGCCTAGGTTAAAATTTATGCTCTACTTCTTTCATAGTGATAGTTATTTTTCCATTGTCTGAAACAGTGACTCTTGACCAAACCTTAAAGGTAGAATTGTGGCTGGTGTTAATTTAGTCATTTTAGGTTTTTGGCAACGGGTCATTTGGTGCTTTTCTAGAATACTGTGTCCTTGTCATAGTGATGATATTTGTGTCCTCAAAATTTCCTTCGATTTTTTTTTAAAATTTTTATTTCAGAGAGGAAGGGCAAGGGAGAGAGAGAGAGAAACATCAATGATGAGAGACAATCATTGACTGGCTGCCTCCTGCACGCCCCCTATTGGGGATTGAGCCTGCAACCCGGACATGTGCCCTTGACTGGAATCCAACCCAGGACCTTCAGTCCACAGGCTGCTGCTCTATCCACTGAACCAAACCAGCTAGGGCCCTTCGATTCTTATTACTACTTTTCTATTCTAAAGGTAAATTGTGAGATATTAATTAGTAATTAGGATTTTAAATATAATTAAAGCAAAATTCCGAATTGTCACTGTGATAAGTATAATGTCATCATAGGCAGAAATGAAACTACTTTTTTCTACAGAATCGTAAGAGGCTTTATAAGCTCATTGTTGGGTTGTTGTGAATGCCTGGTAATAATTTATCCTTGGTTAGCTTAGAATAGCGGTTCTCAACCTGTGGGTCGCGACCCCTTTGGCGGTCGAATGACCCTTTCACAGGGGTCGCCTAAGACCATCCTGCATATCAGATATTTACATTACGATTCATAACAGTAGCAACATTAAAGTTATGAAGTGGCAACGAAAATAATTTTATGGTTGGGTCACAACGTGAGGAACTGTATTTAAAGGGCCAGAAGGTTGAGAACCACTGTCTTAGAAGTTCCTTTACACATTTCTAGATGGCCCAAGAAATTAGCAGTTAACCTTCTCAGAAGTTAACCTGTGATCTGAGGCTCCTCTTTGACTTGCCTTAGAGTAGAACATGTTCTAGCAACAGCTTTACTAACAGCATTCTTTATTTGTTCAGGGTTGTTGGGTAATGGACAAACATGCAAGTGTACACACGCAATCATAGGTAATGCCTATGATTTCAAGCTCAAATTAGAGCTCATGATGGTGAGATATTTTATGATATTTTATAAGTGGAAGCACTAAGGGATGCTTTAGTCTAACACTTCTCTATAATCTGGAAAGTTACGGGAAAAGGACTAAACCAAAAAGCTTGTGTTCAGCCCCCATGCTGTTAACACCATTTTGGTGACTCTGAACAAGTCCTGTTACTCTCCATGCTGTGGTTTTCTCTGCTATAAAGTGGGAATGCTAAAGGAAGTGACCCCAGAGGATCTTTTTTAAGAATACCATGGTTTGGAAATTGATTTTCCTTCTTCATCATTTGTTTTCTTACTAATTACTCTGTTTTTCTCTTTAAGGGTCAGATGACTTGTCTGCAAAACTGTGGGATGTGAGCACAGGGCAGTGCGTTTATGGCATACAGACCCATACTTGTGCAGCGGTGAAGTTTGATGAGCAGAAACTTGTGACAGGCTCCTTTGACAACACTGTGGCCTGCTGGGAATGGAGTTCCGGAGCCAGGACCCAGCACTTTCGGGGGCACACAGGGGCCGGTGGGTTGCCCTTTTCCAAGAGTTTACATATTTTAACCTCATTCCGTAAAGCCAGGAGCCAAGAATGTGATAACTTTTTTTTTTTTTTTTTAAATATATTTTATTGATTTTTTACAGAGAGGAAGGGAGAGAGATAGAGAGAGTTAGAAACATCGATGAGAGAGAAACATCGATCAGCTGCCTCCTGCACATCTCCTACTGTGGATGTGCCCGAAACCCAGGTACATGCCCTTGACCGGAATCGAACCCGGGACCTTTGAGTCCGCAGGCCGACGCTCTATCCACTGAGCCAAACCGGTTTCGGCTTTGTTTTTTAATTTAACTTGCACTCTCCTTTCTCAGTCATGACAATTAATCTCTTTATTCAAGTTGTTATTTGGTATCTTTCCATGTCCCATTTTAAAACTCTTCTCTATCTATACACCTTTATGCTGTGAGGGGACAGTTCTTCTCTCCTATTTCATTTATATCCTGTTGAACAGTCAGCCCCCTTTGCCTTTATCAGGTTCCTTACCTCCAAATTGAGTAAGTCCTACACTTACTGGTATATATTCAGTCTCCTTTATTTGTAGAAATAGAGCTAAAATCTTTTGGAGTGATAGTCATTCCAAATTTCTGTGATCTACATATACTATATTGAATTGGAGCTTGGTTGACAATTGATAACAAGCCACTGCCAAGAGATAAGATGAAAGAAACAGATACCTGAATATTTCCTAATAATTTTACAGCAGCCTTCATTTGTAGAAGCTGATCATTGGATTATAGCCTAGAGACCTGAGCTTCTTCCTCTATGCATTGTATTTTGGAATTTTGTGCAGGAATCATATTGAACTGTTTTCCAACCTCTTGTACAGCAACTCCCTTCCTCCTTTGTCCCATGTGCACACTGCATTCATCCCTGGAAGTCACAGATAATGCTCTTAAGCATCACATTTTATGAGTGGCCTTCCTGGACTCCCTAACAAGTTGAGTCTGCTGTAGGTTTCCCAATAATCTGTATTTTTGTCATAACACGCATCATACAAGTAAGTATGATAATCTTGATTTCCTCACCAGGTGGTAAGCTCCAAAAAGACAGGGATACTGCCTGTCTCCTTCACCCTAAGGTCCCCAGGTTCCTTGCACCATACCTGGTATTCAGTAATTCTTTGAAGTAAACCTAGCTGTTTTCTTGCTAAAAGCAAAATTTTTTCCCATTTTTGTTTGTCATCCCATACATTTTTCCTCTACTATCTGCTACCACTTGTTTATTGTAGAAATTAGTATTTGAAGATATACATTGACTACCAGGTAATTTTATATCTGATCAACTTTGAGAGCCCTGCTCCAAAAAATTTCCTCCTTGATGTTCCCTGGGCATTGCTGTGGCTTTTCCTAACTCTATGCCTTTGCTATTCCCTCTACCTGCAATGTTCTTTTTCTTTTCTTAATAAACTCTACTCATCCTTCAGGGCCCACCTTCAATATTGCCTCTTCCCTGAAGTCCTCTCTCTGATACCCCTGGGCAGAGTTAGTCCTTGGTATTTCCTTAGCAAGAGATAACCTCCTCCCCCCCTCACCCCCCCTTCCTCCACGGCTCACTTAGATTGAGGTCCTTAAAGAAAAGACCAGCCCTAACCGGTTTGGCTCAGTGGATAGAGTGTCGGCCTACAGACTGAAAGGTCCCAGGTTTGATTCCGGCCAAGGGCATGTACCTTGGTTGCGGGCACATCCCCAGTAGGTGTGCAGGAGGCAGCTGATCGATGTTTCTCTCTCATTGATGTTTCTAACTCTCTATCCCTCTCCCTTCCTCTCTGTAAAAAAAAATCAATAAAAAAAAGAAAAGACCAATGTCTTTATCTTTGGGTCTCTAATATCCCTTTAGAGTTTGGTAGACATTGAAAAACAAATATTTGAGCACTTGCTATATACTCAGGCACTGTTTTAGGTGCTGGACGTATTGCTGTGAAGAAATGCAGACAGTTTTGAGAGAATGGCTTAGTCTGACCTTTGAGATCCTTGTTTATGTTTTGTTTTCTCATTACAATGGCTTTTCTTGAGTATAGATATTGGTTTGCAGCTTACATTCTTGATGTTTTGTCTAACTGCAATAAATAGGGCAAATATGACTAGGGCCACCTGAGTTCTATTTTCCCTGCATAAGCTAGATAAGTTTTGTGTAGTGTCAGACAGACATTCTTGAGAAGAAATGCCATTATCTCCAAAACTGGTTTTACCTCTCACTTTGAAGCTAACACAGGCATAAAAGGTGATTAGTTCAGAGACTTTTCCATTCTTAGAATAATAATAACAAAAATTTTGAAATGCATATTTTTTTTATAAAGTTGTTACTTGAGTGGTACCATTCTCTTGTACTCTGGTTGAGAAATTATAAAATTGGGCAGCTAGGGAGAATAAACGCTATTAAACTCTGTTGAACTCTATTATAAAAGACTCAGACAAGCATGTTTTAACTTTGTATCTGTTATATATTAGTATTTAGTGTCGACTACAATGATGAACTTGATATCTTGGTGAGTGGCTCTGCAGACTTCACTGTGAAAGTATGGGCTTTATCTGCTGGGACATGCCTGAACACACTCACCGGGCACACAGAATGGGTTACCAAGGTAGGAAGACTTGCAAAAGAAATCTCCTTAACATCAGGTTTTGTGGGGGTGGGGGACGGGATGGTGCATGCTGCCTTAGAAGTGGTGGGTAAGCCATAAGATGGAATAAATACAACCACAAAGCATGATAGTGTACAACAGTGACCATGTAAAAGACACTATAAATGTGAATGACTTATGGACATGGAAAGATGCCCACAATTGATAACAAGCCGTTGCCTAGAGATAAGATGAAAGAAACAGATACCTGAATTTCCTAATAATTTTACAGCAGCCTTAATTTGTAGAAGCTGGTCATTGGATTATAGCCTAGAGACCTGAGCTGCTTCCTCTATGCATTGTATTTTGGAATTTTGTGCAGGAATCATATTGAACTGTTTTCCAACACCTATTGTTTTCAATAGTAGGTGTGTACAGGGAGAAAATAAAACAGGTCACATACAAAAAACTATATAGAATATGACACCATTTTCTGAATGTGTTTATGCACCAAAATGTTGAAGACAATTATTTCTTGTGGAATTGTGGGTGCTTTTTTCCCTTTTAGGATAAGTGTATTTCTTTTTTTAATCAGAAAAGCCACTTTCATTTTGAAAAAGAAAATAATTGCAAGAAGTAGAATAAATAAACATGTATAGGATCTTTAGGAGAATATTGTGGTGTTTTCTAGTTTTCAATAAAAGATTGCTATGAAGATGGAATGCAGTAATTTTTTTTCAACTTTTTGTTTGTTTAAAGTACTACAAATAGTAGTACATATGTCTACTTTCCCTCCCCCCATTGACCTCCCCCCAGCCTTCTCTACCTCCCCTCCCTATATTGCC